CCGCTCCCAACTACTGATGAGGCGACTGACATTCCTCTTCTTGGAATTTGACAGATTTCCTTGGCACAACTGTTAGACCTAGACACGCAAGTCTAATTTATCTGAGATACCGTACCTTTTGTTCCAGTGCATCCGATGAAAACGTACCCAGAAAATTTCAACCTTAATCTCATTATCCTCTCCCCACGGCTGGTCAGCAACAGCTTTCTGGATCCGGAGATCACCTACCTACTTCACTGTGCCTACCATGTAAGCACACGAAGCTGATATCCCTCTCTTTTTGTCTCTCCAAACTTTCGAATCATAAAGTCAACTCTTATGGCTTGATCTTACACTTTTGTCGTAATCGCGATTCCCACTGACCGTCACTCAGCGTCATTTTGCTTGGATGTATACTATCACGTGTTACTGTTACCTTCTGCGGTTGGTGTTGTGACCGTTTCCCTACTGCTGTCTTGTCTGGGCTAGATCAAAACTGTGATTAATTTCTGAGTTTAGACATTCAAGGATGCGAATGTTGTCTGTGTTGTAAAAGACCTGTCTCGGCTCGGGTTTCGATTCGAATTTTATCAAATATCCTCGTGATTTAATTTTAAAACAATTACCAGTCCATTATATCCAGTGTTTTTGGGGAGGGGTCTTTTTCAGTTCAGTTGCAAAACTGAACAGACAGAATGATACAGGAAACTTACAAATGGACAGGTGAATATTCGGTGAGCTTAGAGGGTAACCAGATTTGTTTAGACACAATAAAACTGCTTTCAAAGCGATTGGACGCCAACGAAATGGCTCACGTTTGCGAACCGTTATTTTTTGAACTTGGAAATCATGTGACCAACATGTATGCCACATGAAACAGAAGAGGTTCTTGATGGAATGTTTGTGCATCGACTTTGCATACTGTTATTTGATTACTGGGACGATTTGCCTCTGTAGCGAACCAGTCACCCACACACTTGACTATTCAGCCCAAAGTCGCTCACTGGGTCGCGAGACTTGCCTCTTTTTCATGCCCACAACCACGTCACATTAAGGTGACTCATCAGACGTCGATTGTCTGCACCGTCTAGTGAGCGTACCAACCACTCACGTGCTGACGCGCCCACGTACGCGCAAACGGACCTATATATAGGGAAACCGAACGCAGTCAGCACACACAGACTCGCGCGCAAGCAGGGAGCAAGGAGTCAGCCGAACTCTCCACAAATCCACGGACAATCATGGAATACGTGCAGCATTCAAACTGCGGAGGAAACACGTTCCCGCTGTCCGGACTTTCACCAAGGGACTCTCACAAACGACAAGTTCCCTGTTGACTTGCTCCACATTTTATATTGCTCTTTATTTTATACATGCTACAAATCGCTCCTGTAAACAACTGTCAATCACAGTTAAAAACTTTTATTAGTGCATACACCTTCTGATTTGTATTATGGCTATCATCACCTGTGCACTAATACTTCCGATACGCGTAGTTACGTTACCCACCATTACTTTATTCATAGTATAGGATTTGAGAACTTTGGAGGGAACTTTGTTCTATAAGTGAAGAAAGTCTGTGCTGAAAGGAAGTGCCGGGAAGTGCTTATTGGCAATTGGTGATGCACATCTTTGCTTGGTGAGTACACTATATAAATAGCTCAGAGAAAGGATAAAATTCACCCATTGAGTGGAACTTCCATCGTCACTCGGGAAGCCAATCAATCAACACGTGGCCACGTGATGTGGATTACATGAGTGGTGTTCCATCCTGTCTAATTACAGTACCAGCTTATCAGGGAGGCCAGATTCCTGAAAGCAACCAGTGAATGCCTGAAATCTACTGAGACTCTCAGCTCCGCTAGAGGTTGACCAGACAGACAACGCCCCCTCAATAGACAGCGTTTCACAGCCTTGTATCAAAAGCAGATAGCGCGGGACAGCGTGGAACCAAGGTTAGACTGTGCCCCGGGCACCGGAGATGGACTGTTGGAGTCTTCCTCAAAAGAATGGGTCCAGATGGGATCATTGGTATGGAAACGACATGTCAGTCAATTACGGCCGACTGAGTGCCAGATCCTAAAGGCGGAAGAACAGTTAATAGACCTCAATAGACTGCTTGAAAACTTTGATCTACCAAGACCAGTACCTATAGCCACTGCCTCGGATGTACCGCCCAAGACAGATCCATTGCTGCAACCGAGACGTCGTACCGGTCGTGCTAGAAAACTGGTGAAACCTTTACAACTTGATACGCGTCGACAATCTTAAGCTGGATGGCCAAAAGGGGGTGCCAGATAGGTCAGCTTTCTGAAAGCAACCACTGAAATCTAGTGAAACCCTCAGCTCCGCTAGAGGTTGACCAGACAGACAACTCCCCCTCAATATGCAGCGCTTCACAGCCTTGTATCAAACCCAGACAGCGCGAGTCGGCGTTGATCAATGTTAGACAATGCCCCTGCAAACAACAGGATGGCGCAGCCTCGAACCAAGGCCAGACTGCGTGCGTCAGCATTGGACCAAGTTAGACAGTGTCTCTCCAATAACTAGCTTGAGACCGTTGTATTACCGCACTCGTACGCACTCACCCTCTCGCACTCGCTTGTTCGGAATACAGCTGTTATGTTCCCTTCTGTGAAATCCTTTTTTCCGGCACCAGGCACTGGATCGGATCAGCAGTCAGATAAAATAGTTTGGAGAATTCAGCAGATATAACACAGCTAACCACACTGCTGATCAGTCTCTCGTAGCTAAAAGGTTAAGTGATCAAGTGCTACCCGGGAGACTGCTGGCTCGAGACTGGGTTGCAGTTCCGAAGATGGTGCAGTTTCCGAAGATGCAGGTTGCTGGTGTCTGAGATCGAGAATGAAGCAGCTGTGAAGTGTATCTTCTTTTTCAGCATAGATTGGCTTCAATTACCTGACAAAATCTCCATCCAGAGTCTAAGAATTTTGGAAGCTAAGCTCGCATAACATCTAGGCGACGGTCACCGTGAAGTTCGCTAACCAATTAAAAAAACGACGCCACATAGTTGGGAAATGATGAGAAGGACGAGATAACTAGAGTCACTAATATCATTGACCAGATATTGCATACGGCATCTTATCTACGAAGATAAATGAACGGTCCCGTTTTACGATGACGGATTATCGTTGATAGATTTCGGCTTATCGGCTGTTCAGCTGATCACGTGACCTATTGAGTGGTTGAAGGGCGTTATGTTTTACCCCTCGAAATAACTTGTTTATGGATGCTGCGCACGACACGGATGTTCCCAGTTGCCGAATCCTACCAAGTACTGTAAAATCGGTTATAGAAACATGGAGGAGACAACTGTGTACAGAACCCATCTGAAAGGAATAGTATTACTCCTTGAACAATGACATCCAGGTTACACAGTAATGATGATACTACAGAGCCGAGTGAAAAAATTGCTTCCGAGTTACACTGGTAATAAAGAGCATCGGATACGATTCAAGAACCTCAGGTTCATCTAAGATATCAGGTATCGGAAAGAGGTTGATTGCATGTTCGTCTGAAATCGGAAATCATCGGGTGGTAACGATGGTGGCGAGGAAGTCATGTGAACATGAATTTTTCCAGTCCGTCTAAATCATTCCGACAGATGCCTTGGCTCGAACACAGCGGCAGTTTTAGCACAGTTTGAATGGATTGGTGATGAGTCACCATCAGCTGATGAAGCGGTTCAAATGCTGAAATGAAGACTGAAAAATTGTAGATCGCCTCTAAGATGATGTAGTCTTCCGAAAGTTCAAATCAGATAGTTCAAATTCCCCATCAAGTAGATTACAGAATTCTACTGAAACATCACTGTAAAACGGCGAGATGTCTTAGAAGGAGTAGGACATTATCCACAACAGACCACTCTCTTTGTAAGTATTTTTCCAACATAAATATCCAACTAAGGACAGGCTCAAGGACACAAATTTCGCAATCTGGAACATCTAGAACCCCTACATGGAACCTCACACTCGACAGTGGACTTCCAAATTTTTGTTTGTCGTTGACTCTGTAAGGTGCACTGCAATGTACATGTGAACAGTGTCCTTCTCTTAACTGAAGAGAATCAGTAAAGCACTAACACACAAGAGGAGTCTGAAACAGCCAGCCAGCCACTCACGCATGCATGAGTTGAGCCACACTAAGTGCCGCAACCCTGATCAGTGGGCACAGAAACGATTCCCTCTCTTAGAACTAAACAACCGGAAGGTTCGGTTGAGTCTGCTAATCCGTAGCGCTGAGAAGAGCGTATATTTATAGGTCTGGGGTACGAGTGGACCTATCGGGAAGCTGGAGGATCACTTTTAAAATGAAGATGGGAGGTCGAGGTTAGTGCCATGACCAAGTCTGTGCGCATAAAGCTATCTAGCATAAACTATCTATTAACTTGATGGATTCCAGCTTGTGCAATAAAGTGCATTAATTACGATCGATTGACAGCCAAGCGACGGTTCGTGAAGGGGATGGGGGCTTGGTGACCAACGATTTCACTCGTGACTTAGTCCTAAAAGTGAAGTCAGTCCGTGTTACAAAGCCGAGATTTATCGCTATTGGGAGTCTGCAGCAGTGCACAGCTCACGAATTTCCGAAATGCTTGGAACTCGTAGTCATTAAACCAGTAGTAAAAGGCCGTACGACTCGCTCATGGTCAGCTGATCAGCCGCGTGGTTAGCTCGCACTTGGACGGGACATAGCGCCACTTATCCTTCAAAGACGGAATCACGTGATAGCGTGTCCACTGCCTGCTCGAGTGATGATTCCTCAGATGAATGTTTCATATAACTTGTGAATTATTCATCCTCCTGCTTCTACAAAGAGAATTGAAAAGTTCAGTCGAAATTCGGTGACTACCATCCGGTTGCGCGTACCGAATACTTCGGAGAGATAGGCGACGGTATGTTGTGTGTATGTCAACTGCTGAAAATGCAGGTAAACTGGTGGATGTAGTGGAGAGAGCTAGGCGAGACAGCTCGGATAACCCATCCGGATATTAACTGTGTTTGCATATGCTCTTTGCAAACATGGTCGAACATATAGGTCTATTTTAATTTGCTGACCAAAGAAACTGAACAAAGACTTTGAAACAGATATCGCGATATGTGAATATCTTTGTAATGTACTACTCATAAGGTTGCTGAAAATCCATCGGCCGGTTTCGCCCCTTTTGGGGCTTACCAGGTAGGCACAATCCCCGGGTTTCCGTCAACCTTATGTTCTACTTGAAACCAAATTGCACGAAATCAGCGAATATACACTCATTTGCAAACTAATTTGGTTTTTCGAGAGACTCAACTGGAACCCAGCTGAGTCTCTCGTTTGTGATGTCTCCAGGCAAATGAACGTGCTGCAGCAGGCCGCCTCATGTTTCAGTCGCTACGATATTCGAGATATCGCGATACATGACTGCCTTTGTAATGTAAAGGTTGCTCAGTTGCCTGAGAACATCACAAACGAGAGATTCAGCTGGGTTCCAGGTGAGTCTCTCGAAAAATCAAATTAGTTTGCAAATGAGTGCATATTCGCTAATTTCGTGCAATTTGGTTCCAATTAGAACGTAAAGTTAACGGAAACCCGATGACTGAGCCTACCTGACGAGCCCCGAAAAGGGCGAAACCGGTCGATGGATTTTCAGCAACCTTATGAGTAGTACATTAAAAATATATATACATGTATCGCGATATCTCGAATATCGTAGCGGCTGAAACATGAGGCGGCCTGGTGCAGCACATTCAGTTGCCTGGAAACATCACAAACGAGAGATTCAGCTGGGTTCCAGGTGAGTCTCTCGAAAAAACAAATTAGTTTACAAATGAATTTATATTCACTATTGAAACAGATTTGATTTCATGGAGTCATCATAGGTGATACGATTTATTTTCTCAAGCATTAATCATCATCGTATGAAGTATTCCTCTATTTTTCGCGATTGATTCACCAAGGGGAATTCCAGTTGATGTGACCGAATGGGACACAGGGGATGCTTCCATAGTTACGTGGCAGTGAACGTACTTTCGAAGCTTCGGGTGTTTGGCCTTGCTCTGTCACAGATCACAGTCCTGAGATTTTGAGCACAAGTAAACTGCTCTACGGAGAAGCCATCCGTAAAGGCAGCGATGTAATCTCATCTGACATTGTATACTGTTTGCAAGCATAGTCCGGTTTCAAATTGTGCGCTGACTTGTTCTGTATGGTTAGCTCCCAGTTCACTGAGTTCATCGTATTAGGCCAGAGAGAGTTCAAGTCCGCAGATTAAGGTAACAACTAAAATACGTTAGACAATCTTCCAGTTGTAACCTCTTTGGTGCATAGCGGCCATGTCACCAGATGTAAGCACGAGGGTTGAGCTACCGCCAAGTCCCCCAAGCCTAGACGGGAGCAGTCGATTTGCAGAGGTCCGGTTCGAACCACAGTTCTTCAACCATCGCGCTATCATGCAGACACGTAGTAAGTTTTACTCAGGCCTGAGCGTCCGGATATAAACCGACTCATCCTCGATCATTGTGGAGATTTTCAGATCACCACCATCATCACCACCACCACCACCACCACAACAACAACAACAACAACAAATTCTCTCCATCTGCGCGGTGATCTGTCTCCTAAGCCGTAAGGTTAAATAATCGTATTTTTCAGAGCAGTGAACCCATGAAAACACTGCTCTATCACTGTGATGAACAGCTAATCTTTGTACTCTTCACCGTTATCATCATCTTCGTTGCGAATAGCAGGAAACCTGAGTGCTCAATGCTTTCAGGGAAAACGGGCTTTCTCCGATCTCTCTGTTCATTTGCAACGTTATGGTTGGCCTGATCATACAGTGCTGTCACCGCTAGCGGTGCAACGGACACGGAAAACGCTGAGTCATTAAACACATGAGCTAATTGATTGGCTATGGAGTCGCACAAGGTCGGATGCTAAGGCTCTATGTTGATTGGACAAAACGCACACACAATCCAGCTGGGCAGAGCAGACACCTGTGTATTGCGGGTCAGGCTCGCCGCGCTCACGGTACGATTTATTCTGTCACAGTACACATTAGTCCTCCAGCTCGTTTGCAATTCAATCAGTAGGCCGCAATGTGATAGACCCAATCCTGCAGTTGTCGCCTACGTATATTAGATTGCCATTAATGGGCCAAGTTGATTAGTTTCTAAAAAGGCGATCTTTCTAAGGAAAAGATTTTTGATCGGATTTTCAGGGGTGGAGGTGGGACAACCTGATACTCGCTCATATCAATTTCCCCTCATCTGTATTAGGAACTGAAATATGAAGGCGGCGACCATAAACTTTATGCCAATGTTTGCAAGATGGAAGGAGCTTGCCGAATTTTTCGGGGGAGGGCGTCTAACCGGGGAAGCTGATGCCGTAAGTTTTGTCCAGACCTTAGAACCGTTTGTTCACTGATGAACAGTCGGCAATTTTTTGTCTGATCGCCCACCGATTTTTGGAAAGGACCGGATAATTACCAAGCCGTAGGCTTTGAATTCAGCTGGATCTTTAAGGAACAGCCGGGTCCTGAAGGAACAAGCGAATCAAGCATCAGGGAGGCCTAAAAATCGGTGGGTGCGTTGTCCGTAGGAGACAGTAGCAATCGAAATATAGGGGATGAGTTCGAATCACGAATCATTAAGTCAGTAAGTTCGCACCTTACCCACTGAACTGTCTCCAGTTCATTAACAACTGATTGTTAGTTGCAACAACCAGCGGCACGCTTCTACAGTAACAAAACATTATATTGTATTAGCAAGTATATTTTCTGGTAATACTAACGACAGCGATAATTTCTCACCTGAAATTCCCTTATCTGGAACTCCATCTTCCACTTTTTTCCTCCTGGTTGGCTGATTGGTGGAACGGAGTATTAATTTCGGTTTTTCAAACTTTAATTACACGTTTATCCCGTTCAACTTGAGACGTCTGGAGTATAAGTTGCTTGTTCGTGAGTGAGCAGTTGAGACGGTGAGCACGTGCCTCAAATTTAAGTGACCGATCGATACGCCAGACCAACTGGTGAAAAAATGCAGTTAGCTTGCTCAATCGGTGCCACCCGTGGGTCACGTGCTAATACAGACCAGTATTATAAAGTAGATATTGTGGGGGAAGAGTTCAGTCTTCTTGTGTTTAAAGACTAGACAAACTGTTTTTACGAACGACTCAACAAATTTGTTTGCAAATGTGTGTATTTCGCTAATTTCGTGCAATTTGGTTTCAAGTAGAACATAAGGTTGACGGAAACCCGGGGACTGCGCCTCCTACCTGATGAGCCCCAAGAAGGGCGAAGCCGTTCGTGGGCTGTCGACGAATTTTCAGCAACCTTATGAATAGTGCATTATGAATTATATGTTCATATCATATATGCCATGTGATCACTTGGCCTCCCAGCGGAATAACCGGCTCAATGTGCACTGCGCTGATCTTCCCTGTCAAACCTCTGGAGCGATCGCAGGGTCAATGATGAGGTAATTTACTGTCTGAAATAAGCAGACTACCAGAAAGGATATTTTTGAATAAAAAACTATTGGAATGTGTGTGTGTGTGTGTGTGTGTGGAATTTTATTTCACAACCTCTAGTGATCGCGATCGATATGAGTTTCTTGCGAGTAGCGAGTAGACATGTGAGACAGGCCAGAAAACATGGAACCGGATGTAGTGGACGTGTCGTAGGACCGTTGTAGGAATTACAACGTGGATACACAAAAGTTTGTTGGGTCCAATCGAACCGTCCCAAATGCACGAACGGCGGGTGGAAACGGAGGTTGTAGATTTGAAGGGGAAAAAACAGAAGGGAAATGCTCGCTTCCTACTCACTGATTTTGTCAAAGCAGAGCAGTTGCTTAAAATAATTTATGCTTCCAAAAAAATCTAGTTTTAGTTGAATAGTGCTCGTTGACCGTGTCCAATGAAGGTGTTTCGGGATTGCGTGACCAGTAACGATTCAAGATGGGCTCAACGTTGCTGAAATACCGGCGGTTAGGCAAAGTCCGTTGCGAGAACCCTGTTCTGGGGAGCATATTGTAAACGGTGAATCATTCTAAATGATCACTCATAGTCTTTTTTCACCGATTCTTTTAATTGGGACTTTGTTCCGTAAGCGAAATCAATCCATGCTAGAAAGCCGCTAAACATCGCACAAGTGTGTCATCCTTATTGGGAGTCATCAGCTGTGTTCATCCCACAAATTTCTGGTTGGGAGACTCGAACCCGGAACTGCCCGGCTAGTAATTTAACCATTTAACTGTTCGATTACGAGAAGCCGCTGTGATTAGCTAACACTCAGACAGTATTTCATGCAATTCCATTTTCAGTCACCCTGGACACGTGGTCACAAGTGTTGACTGGCTTCTCGAGTGACTACTTCTCAGATAAAAGTTTCACTCATCTTTTGAGATTATTCTTCCTTTCTTTCAGTCACTGAAACCACCTCACGTGATCACGTAGTGAACGAATGTCCACGTTAGATACTGAGAGTGCATTCAAACTGGAAGTGGGTGCGGGCCGATTAATCTAAGGGTGATCATCAGGGTGGTCCTTTCTCTTAAAGTAGTACTGAAAGTAGAGTACGACGAAGTGTATACCGCAAACATTTCTGCACTAGATAGTGTGTATATTTCTAGAGTTTTCCATTTGAAAATTAAGATAAAAACATTGCAACAAATACACTCATTTGCAAGTCAAGTTGATTTTCACGGGCTTTCGAAGATGAGCAACCTTGTGAGTAGCTTCTTCTGTGGAAATGCATTGTGATATCTCAAATATCGTAGAGACTGAAACATGAGGCGGCATGTGTGCACCACACTCAGTCGAAGAACATCATAAACGAGAAATCCACTTGAGTCTTCCGCGAAAACCAAACTGATATGCAAATGAGTGTATTTCTCGAAAACAGTGCAATTTGGGTTGAAGTAGGTCATAAGGTTAACGGAAACTCGGGGACTGCGCCTCCTACCTGATGAGCCCCAAGAAGGGCGAAACCGGTCGTGGGCTGTCAGAGAGTTTTCAGCAACTTTGTGAGTAGTTCCCTTTATAAAATAAACATTCTTCAGATTTTTCACTGAATAGGTGATGAATGATTACTCTACTAGTGATTGTTCAAACTAGGAACCAGTGTTGCTGAAAAACGTCTATCCAAAAGGCCGCCCATATAAGGTGGGGAAAAGCCAACAAACAAATTTCCGGGGAACCAAAAATAATTGTGTGGAACCTACATTTTTGGCGTCCATGACTTCGGTTAGATTTCCATCCAGCAACGACAGGACACCTGAAAAAATGTTTTTGTGCATGCTCTACTGATTGCTTTTGTGGAAGCGTTTGTCTGACCGATTACTCGGAAGCCATCATTCTTTCTTTGCTGACTCATGGAAACTGAAGAACCAACCGTGGTGCCACCGCTTTTCGCCCCGTCAAACCGGGCCATCTAATAAGTGTCTGTAATTCAATCAGAATCCGTCAAAATCCGGCTGTTAACTTCCACTGAGGCAATCACCACCCACTTGCGGAACCATGACCTTTGCCCTCAAGAGAACTTGCATTGGCCTCACCGTGTTTCTCACAATGCCCGCAAATCGTTTTATACATTGAAATATCGGTCTTCTCCTGGATGGCCTAGAGCGTCTTGCCCATATTTGCCATAGGAACAGCAACGTATTAGACAGAAGATCATGCACACAAAACGGAAATTGTTTGCTATAAACCGTACCCCTAAATCCTCTGCGGAAATAATCGTTCATCATTTATGCTGTAAGACAAACACATTCATAGAGTTGTACTAGTAGCATTTGCCTCCCAGTGAAGTTGTTGATCTCCAACCTTTTCAACCCAAGCTCTTTGGAGAGGCTGCTGTGTTATTCTCGATCCAGTAAAATATCTTCTCAGCTACAGTGGAATCTCAGAGAATAGCTTGACTGACCTTGAAGTAAGCAAGAACTCTCATTCGTGTTTCAGGTACATATCGGGATGTTCGCGAAATACGAGCATTTGCACACCGGTTGGACGGAGACTCAGCCCTAGCTGAGTCTATGATATGCTTCAAATGAATGTGCCACCACACAAAGACCGCCCCATGTTTCATTTGGTATGATATTCGAAATGCATTGTAGAATTTCATGGTTGAAACTACTTAAAAAGTTACTGAAAACTCTTCGACAACCCACAGACGGTTTCATCCACTTTGGGATTCAAAGGTTAGACGCAGTTGACGGTGTTCCTTCAACCTCACGTCCTGCTTGGGTCCAGATTGTACGAGATTCTCGAAATACACTCGTTTTCAACGGTCTTGAGAATAGTTTCATTCAAGAATACATCAAGATTCAGTTTCATTCAGACGTGACACAGATGCCAACTTGTCTGCCGAAAGTGTACCTTCGGGTGTCTAGTACTGTACCTGACTTGACTTAGTCTGACCTGATTTACGAACAAGGTTGTCGCAAGGTATCGGACACCGGGCAATACGGTGGGAGAAATAGAGCGGTGCAACCCGCCAATCAGTCTTGAGAAAACCAAACCACAACGCAATGCCAACCGAGAAGAAAGTTAGCGAAAGCGGGAGAAGAAACTACCAAAGACTGAAGGCACTGAGTGGACCAATCGACTCGAGGGAATGCAGCCCTTGACGCAGCAAAGATTACAAAAGCATTAATAACTGCACGAAAAACGCTGTCAACCAGCTAGCCAATCACCTTAAGAGATAACAAATAGACTTAAATTCTATGTAAATGATCGCAGGCAAACATCAGGTGCCCAGCCAGCTGCACATTACTGATATCTCCGTGCATAGTGACGAAATGTTTGCAAGTCACTTGCCAGGCTCGGCGAACAGATCAACAGCCACCTTATCAACAGCCAGTAGAAACTTCATTTACACAGAAATGTTGAAATAGTCAGCACCATCAAGCATTCTTCTGAACTTTCCTGGACAGTGACTGAGGACCAAACAATGATAAGAGAACACCGTAGAAGGCTTCAATAATTTTCAACTGTTCACCGTGCATCGACGGCACCTACTAATTGCATATTTTGCAAGCTGCATCCACCGTTAAACTAGCATCCAACCTGCCCTGGGGTCTAACGACTCTGAAACTGATACCAGTGTGCTAAAAAGTTGGAATACGACAGATCTAGCATGGGCTCCCTGTGTCTGGCCAATATGCTTGTAAGTGCGTGGCCGAGTCACGGCTTTCTGGTGTAATACTCAAATTGTTTTCTGACTTGGAAAGGATTGGCTCTTTGATCGGCTTACTTCCCGAAGATTTCATCTTCGATCCGATTGGTTCGTTCACCACCCGTTTTGCGTTGTGGTGAACTTTCCTCCGGTTTTATAGGTTAACCTGATACTTTTGTTTACCCTTTTTGTGCCTTTTACTTAGCCGATCCTCAGCTCCCGCTGATCAGCAGGACAGTCTGTTCGAAGTTTCCGTTCGTTCTTCAAACCACTATGACAATCCGAGATGACTGAAGTCCAAGCCACTGTCAGCTATTGCCGGACTAGATTGCTCGAGGTCAACTTCACCAAATTTTTCATGGTTGGTCACTTCCCCCCACATAAGTGGACCAGTGCAACCATGCCCTCCTGCCAAGCTATTGTAGGTAACGTTGAGGGGCGTGGACAGGTGTCAGGCCTGAATATAAACGTTTGTTCTGTCTGCATGTGTGAGTGAACGCTTCTGAGGGTAGCTGGTGACAATGAGTCTTTCGAGCCATGACAGAATAGTTTGAAAGAGGAGTGAGTTAAGTAGAATGAATGGTCTTGCGACTGGGGCGTATTGGGTGCGTATGAGTAGTCGGTTTGCTCACAGAACATCCTTTGATGAGCAGCCTTTGAGACGTGTGTGGCATACCTCCTTTAGCTGGTGTTGGCTCATACGAGGTGAGAACAGAAGACTTAATGAGCATGGATACCACGAAATACGAATAATATCAGTGTAAAGAGGAAAGCCCTTCGTTGTGGATTAACGAGTATCAACTAAACAGTTGCAAACTAGTGGACAGGAAAGTAAAGGCCTCAGATGCACCTTTTTTTAAAAAAAAACTGGAAATCCCCATGCGTCCTCTTGAACTTTCGTGGATATGCATGGAATATCACGCGATTGTAAACGGAGGCTGCAAAGCATTTCCGCAAGTTTGTGGATATTCATGGACTATCATGCAATTGTAAACAGACGCTGTAAAGCATTTCCGAAAGTTCCTTAATCAACCCCACGGAGTACATCTTCCAATAGGCGCGAGGGGGCGCTGCGATAAAAAAGCATACTACTCACATGCCTCATCAGTAGTATCCACTGTTACACACAACCAGTGGATGGAGAAAAACTCGGGTCATTGTTCCTGTCTATGTTTGATAAAGCTAACTTAATCGTTTTGAAATTGATGGTCTTCATCGGGGAAGTTTTGACTAGTTGTAGGAAGTGAAGTGCCCCGTATGAAACCAGGCCTAATCTTTTGGTCTCCAGTTCGATTCGCTTCCCCTTTCATCGATCTTAACGAATTGGTTTTCATGGGTACATCAGCACCACGAGGAGCAAGAAGCCTATCAAGGCAGAGTTATATACACTGATTTTGTTTATCATTGTGCCCCCAGCAGGGAACAAGAATGAAACAGATCTGAAGTTTTTCCCCAAGGCCGTCCCATCAATAACAAAAGGGCAGACAGAAAAATCTTCAGTGGGTTGAATTGCAGGCAGAGTGGATCGAGCAGGCGTATTTACATCAAACAAAATGATGTATTGGAGACAATACCGACTTCAGTTCTACGATGAGCCACAAAGCCAATCAACTGAGCCTCGTTTCACGCCAAGTTAGGTCAGATTACGTGAGAGCACGCGAATGTTTTTCACCCACATAGTTTCTTCTTTGTCCGGTCTCGTTACTTCATGTTCTGTTTCCAGACTCACACCCTGCGGCGAGTGGTGTAGACGCGTCAATGAACAGGAAATTGTTACAACTTTTCAAACTTTCTAACCAGTCGATGTCATAGGTACGTTCAACATTTCCATCCTTGAAGCAAATGTATTCGGAAAATCGATAGGGAATGGATCTGCCCAGATAAGAAGTAGCTCACTAGTTGCATGAACTTTCCTCCGAGTAGTCATCACCCAAGGAATTGATTAGCACGTGCCCGAGTGGTTCGAATTACGCTACTGAATGATGAGTAGCGGGCTAATCACACTTCCAGTGATGGCCGAATAGTAGGATATTCACCAACCAGAGAAGAGTTTCCGGGGTTGAAGCTCATTAGAGAAGTACGCACTACTGATTATTCTCAGTAGTGATGGAGCAGCTATACAGTGCATGTTTGTGTTTCAGTTCCAACTGCCTTCACCTGCCAGACATAGTGTCAGATTCGCCTCATCGTACCGATGAACCTTTCGGTCGGCCAATTGTCCCGACACCTCTCACTCATGGTCTTTCTATGTGTCCATTTATTATCGACCCGCTCACGTGACTAGGGCGGTGGTAGTGCGGTACGCGGTGCGCCTGACTTGTTTTCAATTCATAGTCTGCTTGGCCATGCCGACTTGCCTAAAGCGAATGGCGAACAACACATGGCGGCTTTTTTAAAAAGTGAGGAAACAAGAAAACGTTGTCTATTTTTTAAAATGCAGCGACAGTTTGGCTCATACATTTTGTACATGAAATATTTGTGAATTGTTTTCACTGTGGCCAAACTATCATTTTTTGCCGGATAGCAAGAGAGAGGGAGAAGCTGGCATGTTTTGGGTTTGATTTCCTAAGAAATAACTGTAAGAAAGCGAATGTACTTCAGAAGACGAGACTAGACGGATTAACAAAATGGGGAGTTTGGTGACGACGTTGGCTGTCGGCAGTTATCGCTCATGGTGAGGAGTGCTATTCATTAGTATCGGATGGAACGTCTAGTGAGGCTGGTCGGGGCTATCCTATCTGCATTTCGTTCTTCTTTCCTGTTCGGGGTGACCATCAGTGGAAAGCGCTGATTCATGAACCCAGATGTCTGACCAAAATCTGAGAATGGACCGGTTCATGTGGGCTATGCGGATGTTGCGTTGCTGTGATACAGCAAACCGTTTTTCGCGTTATTTGCCCAAAATCTACCCTAACTCATTTGAAAATCAATTTGGTTTTCACGAGAGACTCAACTGAATCTCTCGTTTATGACATTCTACAACTGAATGTGCTGCACACAGGCCGCCTCATGATTCAGCTGGCACGATATTCAAGATATCGCAGTATATTTTCATAAAGGAAACTACACATAAGGTTGCTGAAAATTCTCACATTATGAGATTATACTGTGATATCTCGAATATCGTGGCAACTGAAATACATTCAGTTGTAGAATATCATAAACCAAAGATTCAATTGAGTCTGTCGTGAAAACCCTATTGATTTGCAAATGAGTGTAGTTCTCGAAAAAAGTCCGATTCGGGTTCAAGTAAAATATAAGGTTGACGGAAACTTGATGACTGCGTCTGCCTGATGAGCCCCAAGAAGAGCGAAACCGGTCGTGGGCTGTCGACGAATTTTCAGCAACCTTGTGAGTAGTGTCCTTTAGGAAAATAGATCATCTGTAGTTGCCTAATGCCCCAAATTTGAGATAGATTAGTGGTTAAGTTGAGAACTTACAAACCGAAGTTTCGTAAAAGGAACTGAAGCTCGACATCTCGACTGTTCTTATCTAGGCTTGAGGGACTCGGCAATATCTAAGCCCTCGTGCTTTCTACGGGAGGCATTGCAGCCAGACACCGAAGGTTTTTTGCAGCTGAAAGATTGATTCTTATTTTCGGAATCCGGTTTGCCCCTTCAGAAGATAACGTCTTATATCCACGATGTTTCAAACGTCTTACACCCTCGAGACCTTAGCGTCAGCAGTAGCACGGTGAAAAGCTTACCTGCAGCCAAACGATGGCAGTATGTTCTTCTCTCACCTTTGTGGTGTTATATAGGCAACCGGAAGTGTACGCACACAGTGTATCTATCGCCCAACGACTAACCAGGCAGACAACCACTAATCTAGAATTTCCACAGTGTCCGCCTCTTGAGTCCAGTGCTTGGGGTCAACTTTCCGAGGATAAAAATGAAGTTTCCTTATCTCCCCCCCCCGTTAGGTTGACGGCATCAATCATCAAAGACAGCAACATCGGTGTTGGCACTGATGCTTCACTGCCGTAATGGTTGTACGAAGGCTGGGATACTGCCAAGGCGCCCCCACCTACACAGGAGGGCGATTAGGGTCATCAACCAAAGCCTTTGGCTCAAAAGCCTAACCCCAAAGCAGCAGTGTTCGGCTGGGAATGAAGGTACCTTACCATTTTTTACGCCATACATGTTCCAACCCACAACCTGAAGAGCCAGGAGACTGTGTTGGTCAGACCTCTACACATGGACCAACCTGGTATGAGAGACGCTGCGAGTATCGTGCGGACACCCCCCAGTATAGCTCAATGGATCGGCGAGGTACACAAACCGCCACACCACGGTAATGTCCAGTCTCTTCGTGACGGGATCCAGGAGGATAAGCAACCCAGAATAGGCTGAATTCCAGCGTTTCATGTTAACTCGTCAGCTGTTTACGCACAACTAACTTGAGGTTAGAAGGTCATCAAGCATATCAGCCCGTAGAGTTATCGCTGGAATCAGCAGAGATAATGGCGGGTGTGATAGGGTCGATCGGCGGGGGGTGGGGGTGGATGAAAACAACCCTTCCTGCGCTTCTTTCATGACCGCAAGGGATGCGAAGAATGCAGGCTTCCCACTATCGAAGTAACAGCTAACGGACATTTGTTACCAAGTTGACAGCAATGTGCCCCAAGTCCAACTGTATCGAGGAGACCCGACCAGCTGTTCGGTGCGGCCAGTCACGCAGACAACCCACAAACAGCTCGGTGCGGCCAGTCACGCAGACAACCCACGGATAGTTGCATTCTACAAATCCCGCACCAGACACAACTGGGATAAAAGCGTCCATCAGGCTTCAAGCGTTAAATGACTTGGAAGTCCTGACAGGTGATCGACATAACCAAGCTATGTGGCTGGATCGTCATTCCAGGCACCGGACTTTCCGTGCATATCACTCAAGCACGAACGTGGAATTTAGGTACATTCACCGTGCACTGGTGGAGTATTGGTAACAGGCTCACCTGGCATGTCAGACGTAAAATCCTGACATGACCAATGATAGTGATGAGCTCTACTAAGAGTGGAACTCGAGCCGTTTGGTGTGCACTCACCAGAACGATTGCCCCAGGAAAGGATGATAACTGTTCAAACGTGAGTCACGTGAGCGTGAGTTCTACAACTCCAACAACCCACCATAACAAATCGATTTAAATATGGGTCGAATACCCATCCAAGTAACACTCAATACCGAGGCATTCACAGTGTACAGTCTCCGTAGCTTGTGTTGCTTTCCAATTGGGGATTGATCTCTGGATACTACTGACAACGAAGACATCAGAGCGCGGCATATAGGTATCCATGCGGCCACCGCCGACGTTTCGCATTCGTTGAGCTGCAGATTTCCAAACCAGCAGCTGTTGCACGAAATTAGCGAGTATACACTCATTTGCAAATTAATTTGGTTTTTTGAGAGACTCACCTGGAACCCAGCTCAATCTCTCGTTTGTGACGTTCTCAGGCGACTGAATGTGCTGCACCAGGCCATCTCATGTTTCAGTCGCTACGATCTTCGAGATATCGCGATACATGTATGTATATTTTTAATGTACTACTCATAAGGTTGCTGAAAATCCGCCGACAGTTCACGACCGGTTTCACTCTTTTTGGGCGCCTGGAAACATCACAAACGAGAGATTCAGCTGTGTTCCAGGTGAGTCTCTCGAAAAACCAAATTAGTTTGCAAGTCAGCAGTTGTTTGATTCTTGCGTTCTTGTATGGATACTCTTGGCAATGTTACTTCATCCAGGACAGCCGGATTCGCCTGCATCAAGGGCTCGTCCACGTGACCACACATCCGCGCTGTGAGGAGGAACTGTCACAATCCAATGTACTCAATTCGATTCGGACAATTAACCAAGCCGTGAGTATGACGACCTTGTTGTAATGATTTTACTTGTCCCCGTGTGCATTTACTTGCCTACAAACCCTAATTTAACCTTGAAATTGGGTGTGTACACACATCTAATGATGTGGTTCGAACCGTCCAGATAACGCTCCTACATGCTTTCAGAAAAGTGACAAATTCGGTGAAGTCATCGAACGACATTTAGCACTGTTTAACAATTGTTTTATATGACTGTACCCAATTTAGTCTGCCCCATATAGCTCCGATACCAAATGGATAATGGGCGTGGAAACAGCAATCATGGAACCGTGTCCTAAATGGAGTCCAAACATCACGTGACCTTATGAAGCAAACAAAACGGTTGGGGCAGAACGGCGGAAGTTAAAACTAAATGCCAGGTTGGGTGGCCTATCAATCTAGTGACTTGTGCACATGCAGTCTGTGAACATACTCCAAAAATCTGATTAGATTTAAAACACAGATACGGTTTATAACTAATCCGAATTCCCATCAATGCTGGAAAAACTTTGCCTGGATTCGGTTGTCTATCTTTCCTGTCTGTACATCGCAACACTGTACGGATAGGTGGAGGGTAGATGGCTAATTTAGTGTCTAGATGACTGACCCAAGGCAGCAGAACTGTGTGTGGCACTTTTTCATAAAGGAAACTACTTGCAAGGTTGCTGAAAACTCTTCGGGCGTCCGCGCTTTGGCTACGCTAAATACCCTCGACGTGGGATCGGCCTCATCAGAGTTTGAAATACAATTGAACATCAATCACATTGGTCAATTGTGATCCATCGCCTGCTCAACGGTGGTGATTCAAGAGTTGGAATAACACTCACCTCGCATGTCAGGCGGTCGCACTTTAGACCCCGATAGGGCCAAGGATGATAAGGAACTCTAATAAGAGCGAAAATCGAATCCGGTCCACTTGGTGTGGGCACATGAGGACCAGGACAGGAGCAAGACTGTGGTTTGAGCATGAATCGATGTACTAATTTAAATTCGCTCACTTGAGGAACCTTCAGAATTTCATGTGCTAACAGACCAAAGTTTTGGCGGAATTCTTTCATGTCCCGTATCTTCGCTGCATCGGATTCACATTGGTCATTGAAAACTCTCTGGCAACCGATTTCGTCCCACTTTGGGCTCATCAGATATGTGCAGTTGCAGGGTTCCCTTCGGCAGTTCCATAACGCTTGAACGGCAAATAGTACGTGATTCGTTTTAACGTAATATATAAGTGGATCTATTGGCGCACTGTTGATGATGACCATAATACAATTCAGAAAGTATATGCACTAATAAAAGTTTTTAGTATAGTTGACAATCGTGAGATGCCACACGTATAAAAATAAATACAATGCAAAATGGGAGCTAGTCAAAAGAGGAACTCATTGTCTGTGAGAGTTCCTTGGTGAAATTCCGGACAGTGGGAACGTGTTTTCTCCGCAGTATAGCTGCTACACGTGTTCCGTAATCGTCCGTGGACTTGTGCAGAGTGGTTGACTTTCTGCTCCCTGCACGCACGCGCGAGCCTGTGTGCGCTGACTGTGTTCGGTTCCCTATATGTAGGTCCGTTTGCGTGTACGTGGGTGTGTCAGCACATGAGCGGTGGCTACACTCACTAGACGGTACAGACAATCGATGTCCGATGAGTCACCTTAATGTGACGTGGTTTGTGAGTGTAGAAAAAAGACAAGTCTCGTGATCCAGTGAGCGACAGTGAGCTGAACAGTCAAGTATGATGGTGACTGGGTAACTACAGGTCCCAGGCGAATCCCTTGTTTTCGGTGTTGTCCAACCGAATATGCAATTTCACAAACCTCATCTGGTTTTTCGGTTATTTATTCTTCTATGACCTGGTATCCTAATCATTGGTCGTTAGCAATTAAATACTCATTCATTTATTGTCTATCCTCAGAAGCCATCCAAGTTGGTAGAAATTCTCCTTTTATCGATCAGCATGCAGACGCTGAGGTCTAAGTTGAACATCAGGCACTCAGCAAGCTAAAATGCTAGACAGAAAACCTAAATTTCGTGTATCGAATGCACCTTCCATCTGAGAAGTCACCAGTGGAAACCCCGGTTGTCATGTGACCACCTGTCTATAGACTGATATATCAGATTCAGAATACGATCCGGGTTAACATATAAAAATCAAGGTCAACGCTTTCATGTGCTTTGAAGTACCCAATGGGCTGTCTTTCACTCGACTGAGTTCGGGGCGTCAGTTTGATTTCGTAGTCTCCAACATCTGTCATACTTGTCACAATTGATGAGTGCAAAACCATGGATAGGACTGGTACTAAACAAATTGTACGCGAAAAAAATCAATCACACAAATTTTCAAACAGGGCTTTGTTGCCAGTCCAACTGATTTCCTTTTACAAAAACTGTCTGCTGGCATCTGACCAACAGCACTGAGACGAATCGCGCGTGCGTTGGTCCGTTTGAGACGAACCGAATAAGTAAGGTCGGGTTGACTGACGTATCCCGTTTTTAACGAAAACACATGCGAATCGACGCGATCAGGCTCCGCACAAGTGTTCATTCGGTGTGATCCGTAAGCAGGTACTGTATTACTGATCGATATAGTACGGGTGTTTTTGTTCACTTTAGTACAACATCTTTACGACAGCTACCTCATTATGCAGGTGTTAAACACCAACTGGTTGCCGATCGAACAGACTGTGCTTCTACCGATTATTGATCGCTTGTTTTGCTGTGTACTCAATTCTGAGGATTCGTTGGTCAGGGTGGCATCCCATAAAACTGTTTCCATCGGAAATTCTGTCTCCGAAACTTTATGGTTCTCTAACGGAAAACACTATTCCGGAAGCTGCTGAGAACTCTTTGACAGCACAAGACCATGTTCGCCCTTCTTGGGGCCAATCAAGTGGGCGCAGTTCCTGAGTTTCCGTCTGCATTCGAATTGGATGCAAATGGAGAACTACGTTCATTTGCCAACCAGTCTGTTTTGACGGGGGACACAACTGAGTCCCGGCGGAACCTTTATTTTTTTAAATCCCTCAACTAAATGTGCCACCGTGCAATCTGAGGGTTCAAGTAGACAACAAGGCTGATCGATATAGTACGGGTGTTTTTGTTCACTTTAGTACAACATCTTTACGACAGCTACCTCATTATGCAGGTGTTAAACACCAACTGGTTGCCGATCGAACAGACTGTGCTTCTACCGATTATTGATCGCTTGTTTTGCTGTGTACTCAATTCTGAGGATTCGTTGGTCAGGGTGGCATCCCATAAAACTGTTTCCATCGGAAATTCTGTCTTCCGAAACTTTCTCCAACGGAAAACACTATTCCGGAAGCCGCTGAGAACTCTTCGACGGCCCAAGACCATATTCGCCCACCAATCAGGTGGGAGCAGCTCCTGAGGTTCTGTCTGCATTCGAACTGGGTGCAGATGGAGAACTACATTCATTTGCCAACCAGTCTTTTTCCAAACGTGGGGACTCAACTGAGTCCCGGCGGAACCTCTATTTTTTTTTAAAAATCCCTCTACTAAATATGCCACCGTGCAATCTGAGGGTTCCAGTAGAAAATAAGATTGATGGAAACTCTGAGATTTCGCCTGTCTCATGAACCGATACCAGTCCACTAAAGCCATCCTTCCGGTTAGTTGGGTAAAGAAGATCTGCTCCGAAATTTCGAGAATCCAGCTGTCTCACTGGGAGTGTAAGATGGAATCCTCGGTCAGACGAAAGCGCAGTGCAAGCGACCGAAACTGATCATCACCTTGCAGAAAACGGCACACACCTTCCAGGTGATACACCACGTACCTTTGAACCAACCAGGATCGCCGTTTCGTGGGATGCTTATAAACGATGTTCGGAAAATACCGATACGAACGGACCTTAACCTAAAAACACTCCTCAGCTGGGGAACCACTCGGTGGACACCGTGACTCCCATTCTCCCCTAGCTAGTTGATCACTGAGTACATGCGATCACTGAGTGTTAGAAAACGCACTGGTGATCTGTTCGTCCTCGGACTGCAGTCCTTAGTGAATGAAAAGCATCCGTCTATCATCCCGACGTTGCCAGCGTCAAAACCATCTCTGGGGCCACTGTACTCCCACGTAGATGCGTTGATCACCTGGGCCTAATGGATACAGAGTTTGATAACTCTACCTCTCAATGTCGATCAAGGTTGTCATCTTCGTTTCACGTGTTTGTGGAAAAAACGTTGGCACATATTATCAGGCAGAGATTCACTTTAAAGGTCACCGACAAAGTGCGACATGTGCCATTAAAGCTACAGAAACTTGCGTGTGCCACTAGGAGAAAACTCGGTCACCCCAGTCGATCACAGTACGCGCCCAAGTGTATCTACTAGCCTCGGAAATATTGAGACTTACAGTAGCTTTTGAACAAAGAGAACGGAGTGAACGACAAACGCAACGAGATGACGGATTATTGGTTTGCCGGAAGCAGATACATCTCCGTGCACACTTTTCAGTGATTGAAAATGTCAGCACTTGCTTCATTAGACGAGTAATCGCCAAGTGCCACGTATAGGGAACCTAACAGCGAATTGAACGTAACGAAAGGTAATATTTCCTTGTTTGTCCCCTCAGCTGTTCCACAAAAGTATGTCTGAATACGGGGGCGAGATGGCTCAAGTGGTTAGGGCGCAAATTTACTGACCGGAAGGTCCGTGGTTCGAACTCGACCTCTGCCTCTCGACTTCCTCTGTCTAGGCTTGGACAACCTGACAGTACCCCAGCCCCCGTTCTTCCTTCGGGTGGTATGGCAGTTAAGCACCGAAAGGGTGCTACAGCTGAACGATTTTTTAGTTGACCAGAGACAAGCTAAACGCGACTTTCCTCGTATGACGTTCATTTCGTGAGGCATGGAAGTCCTGGTGACACTGTGTTTATCTACGCCTGAGTCATACCATTTGGAATTTCGAACAACTCCGTGATCAATAGACGTGACCTCAGTACGACCGAAGATGAGAACTGCACAGATATCGTAGATGGTTTTGATTGGAAAGCTACAGTTGCAAGTAAACTAAAGGGGCAGCTTTTCTGCTCTGCCATTTACAAAAACTACTTGAACAGGTGGGTCCACCAGAAAAGGTTACAAACCTATCATTCTAGCTGTTTTATACTGTAGCTACCCGATCACCCACATACTTGACTGTTCAGCTCATAGTCGCCCATTGGATCACGAGACTTGTCTTTTTTCATGCCCACAATCACGTCACATTAAGGTGACTCATCAGACGTCGATTGCACCGTCTAGTGAGCGTAGCAACCTCTCCTTTGCTGACGTGCCCACGTACACGCAAACGGACCTACATATAGGGAAACTGAACACAGTCAGCACAGACTCGCGCGCACGCAGGGAGCAAGGAG